AAAAAACTCAACTGTTTAATAATTCTATAAATGATTTACACAACTAATCCCCTATTCTTATATATAAAACATGTTTCCAAGTATGAAGTTTCAGGGATTCAATGATGTCACAATTATAGGTTAGTAGTTTTATCTATGCTCAAATTTTTACGAACCAAGAATTGATATATGTGAAATCATTACTGGTTTTAAATCAATCTATTTGAATTTTATTTCAAACAAAAAAATTACTTGTTTCTATATAAAAAAAACTTTAAAAGCTTTGAGCTAATAATACCATTCAAACCATTCCATTCATTTGTTGTTGTTGTTATTTGAGTTAGTGCTATTGCGCACTGGGGCTGGGGGGCTTATCCCTGCCCTACACTAAAGTTTAACTACACCAGAATCGTTATCATTTATTTATCTTCTAACTAATGACGGACCGTAGATCAACATATCTTCCTGTGCGTCCTGAGGTGGACTGAAGGTTTGTTAGAGCGGGGTTGGGTAACGTATCAACTTTTGTAAATAATTTTAGGGGTCTGTCCTTGATATATTTTTTTACTGAGTCGATTCTAAGATCTCTATACATGTCTGTTGTTCTAATATAGCAATAAAACTTAATTAGCTTTCTTAAAGCCGGATTTTGTACTATTTGTAATTGCTTTATGGCACTATTTGAGGCTTTGCTGTAAGTTACACATTCGTACAGTAGTGAAGACCTAATTATTTGAGTACATAATAACTTTCTATTTTTGAGGTTGAAGCGATTATTATTAAGCAACGGCTTAAAAGGATGTCGAATTTTAGAGCAACTATTCCGTTTGCATTTCATACGTTTATACCAAACCATTCATTTATAACGTCTTTAAATTTACTAGTCTATTACTTTCAGTAACTTAATAAAAATATTATGTGAAAGTTACAGATTTAACTTCAAACAGCATTTTACATTTTTTATAGTTTTTGTAATAAGAAGTAATATGACGTTATATCCTGCTGCCCTGCTCTCCTAATAGAGCATAGGGCTCCATTACTACTTAATAATGTTGTAAACATGAAAAAGTGCTGTTAAGTGAAGAAAAGATTGATAATTGCTTATACGCATAATTCATCATAATTAAAGGAAAAGTTTGACAGGTCAATTAATATCATAATATAATCAGGATGTATACTATAAATTGATCGATTATTTTAATAAGTCTATCAAAAATTTTCATAAAAAATTCTTTTATAAGTACTTTTAGCATTTAAGGAAGTTATTAATCAGTAATCTGTCATACTTAAAAAGGTTATTACCACCTTTTTATTTTTAAATCTTAATTCTAAATCTTCTATTTATACTTTAGTATGAAAACATCGTGTATACTTTGTGTTTAATTTGTATTATTCAAAATAATTGATCCTTGTTAAATTTGCTAATTTGTTCCTTACACTCAAATGCATTCTGCTGTAATGTTTATCATAGTTAATTTATTTTCTTGTTAATATGTCACTGATATGCCACGTTGCGAATTAGTTTTGCTTTTCTGCTGTCGTTAATTTATGGATTTATTTATGGAAATATTTATTTATTTTTTCCTTTTTAATATCGACGTCAACTAATGACATTTTTATTTCCATCCTAGGATTAATTTTTTCCGATTCTCACAAACCTATGACTTAAATCGTTTGAGAGTTAGGTCACATATCATAGCAATATTATACGATAATGTCATGCATACAATTATTATAGATTCCAAGGTTTAGTAGTATTAACATATTATTTTTCAATTTTAATTTTAGTCATGTGCTGAATAATTCAACAAAATTCTTTTACTCTTTTTTTATTGGAAATAGTTTGAAATATTTTCAAAATTAAGCATTGTATTTCTCAATCGTCAATTGACAAGTTTTTAATAAATTAATTTATATGAAGAATTTATTCGTTACTCTTGGAGTTGAAATTAAGATGGAGTTTAATTGTAACTTTGAAAATAATCGCATATCATTAGTTTCCATTAACACTGTAAAAATTGAAAAATCGTATATTCTGAAAAGTTTCAAACTTTAAAATAAATTTTCATAACATATTACAGATTATCCAATACTTGGAAAGATCAAGTCCACATTAACCTGTAATAATTTAGTATTTCTGACTGGGGTACGTGCTCATTACATAGGAACAACCGACAAAAACTACCTAAATAATTAATTAAATAGCAAGTGGGGATCTGTTTACTATTATTATTAATATTATAGTAATGAAATTTAACAATTTAAAATAAAAGTATAATCAATTAATTCAATTAATCTACAGCTGGTTTATAATTTCGTTCTAATATAAACACAGCAAATTATTTTGGTAATAAAACTTTCACAGCAAATTCACAAAACTCCAGAAAATTATGGAAGCATAAAAGTCAAAAACGGCTCTGGGTCAGTTGGTTAAGGTGCGCTAATTCGGAGCTTCAAATTTGGTAGCACACTAGCTCTATTCCTGGTACTTGCAATCTCAAAAAATTATTCACGAATAATTAAATACAAGAATTATTTCCAAGACCACTGATGCTGGCAATATTCGAAACAGCCAAAAATTCAATTAAGTAAAAATAATATAAACATGAATTTTTGTTGTTATAGTTTACTACTTTTAGAAAAACCTTTTTATAATTAATATATAGATACTGCTCGAATGTAAACTCGCCATGGCATTGCGTCACGTTAGACTATTGTATCATGTCTTTCAGTAATTATTTAAATTATAACCACAAAAATAAGATCCAGAATTAAATCCAGATCGATGTTTGATCACTCTAATTCGTGCCGCAATTCTCTGTCGAAAATGTGTAGGAACTGGATACTTGTTTAAACCGCAATGAGCAGTTATCCCTACAATCATTGCTTTTAAATCCGTTCTGTTCATATTTAGTAAGCATTTGCCTATTTTCCCAAAATACATTGAAAGAAAAGGCAGGTACAGTAGAATCCTTTCCAATTAGGCCATTTTTGGGCACTTTCTAATCCACAGCTCTGGTTTTACAGAATTAGTTGCTAACACCTAGAATTGGCCCTATTTAAGTAATGTCTTGAAACCGTACAATTTCTTAATATTGTGTTCTGATTTAAATTTTAAGATTATAGCTATTTTAAATAAATTATAGCTATTTTAAAAATTTTATTCTTTTATATATTTTTCAATAAAAAGCAAATTATTTTTCGAAAAATGTTTGTGAGCAGTGAAAAAAGTTAGAAAGCATTCAAATTGTAGAGTCTATAGTTATGACAAGATACATCGATTTCGCGTCTATCAGTCTATGTGTCGAAAGGTTTCTTATTAATTAGCAGGGCTTATCGAATCAAACTTTCTACAAGCAATTTATAAGTAACATATGAATGATAAAGTCAGTTGAAGTCGATAGATGATATGGTCGATAGATGAGGTTTATAGATGAGGTCAACAGATAGTCAATAGATGACGTCCATAGATAAAATCGATAGATGAAATCAATAAATGAATTGAAGTCGCTAGATGAAGTTGATAGTTGAAGCCAAAATATTGCTCCTATTGGGTAACTAAATTCATTTATTTTTATATTAATCTAAATTATTATAACAACGTAGTAAAAAAAATCCTTTTTATAAAATAAAATTATGATATATTAATCTTATATCCTTTAGCAGTAGTCAAATTCAAAAGTTAGTAGTCATGATTTCTGTTGGAAAATTCAAACGTTAGTAGTCATGATTTCTATTGGAAGATTCAAGACATATAGAGAACAAAGCCCATATATTGGATAACTACATCATAATTGGATTTGAAAAACAAGCATTTTTGACGAATACAAGTTAAGATACTGTGAAGCAAATTTGTTAAGTGAAATCATGAAATAAATGTTTATCACTAATTTGGGTTTGACTAGGTATGACTGACTGTGCAGTAGGCATTGTAGTTTCAGGAAAGTTAAATGATGATCTTCTTTCTTTGTTTCTTATTACTAAATTAAAATTGGACTACATAAATATAATTTAATTATATACCAACCAAGAACTCTTTACAATGAATATCAACACACATATTTTTCTTCACTTACCCATATTTTTCTTTTTTTTAGTTCTTCAAGTTTTTTATTATTTATGTCTTTAGTTTACCTTAAACAGTTTCTCCTTTAAAAATACATTTTCTAAGAAGTAAGTAATCATAATAGTCCCTGACGTCATTAAGGCATCATTTTAACATTTTAAAAAGGTCCTAAACTAAATTTAGTATACCAATTACGCTTAAGTGTAGAGCAAATTGCATTTTATCCCGATTTGAAATATGCTAATGAATGTAAATTTACCTAAATTAAATGTGTGCTGAAGGTTTTTACAGTGACTTAATTGGAATATACTAATTTTCTGAGGTAATTTTACACAAATGCGATTTGTATACAAAAATAGTGTATTAGATAAGCTAACTGCTTACAACGATACGACGAACTAGTCTAATTTATCTTTTGTATGGAATAAGGTAATTTAATCCTTAAATAAATTAATTAGAATGTGCAAGGGATGGAATAATTAAGTTTAAAATATGAACTTTTGCACATGTATGATTTTATTTCGTACACAGCACTCCGTATGCTACACTAAATGATTTAAACAAAACCAACTAACAACAAATAACTTTTAAAATTAATTTACACATTTGCCTTATATGAAAATATTTAATTAAATTCCATGAAAAATTTAAAGCCCACAAGTAAGAGAAGGCGGCACCGAGCGTGCCTTTATTAAAAATTCCTCACATACGCTGGCAGTTTTTGTGAAATAAAATTATTTATGGTTTTGTGTATTTAAGTGCCTATATCTAAAATATTATCATATGAAACATAAAAACTAGTATAAAATTTGATGAAGATTTTAAAGTGAACTGGGTACTACACTACTACACTTGCGTAAAAACAAAAGAGCACATAAAAATATTTACTACTGCTTAGCAGATACAAATGATCAGGAACTTTATGCTACCGAATACCGAATTTCGTTTTATTTACCTTCATTAAATTGTTCATGTCATCAAAGGGATGCACCTCCGTTACCGAAACATCGCTTTCCTGATTTTGAATTTGTGATTTTGTTTTCACAGTAAATAAGTGAAAGGAATCCATTTAGTATGTTAACACAATTAATGTAAATTTTTTATGTTCAGCCATGTTGTTGACAGGATGTGTGCACATAAGCGACATC